CATTATTTTTAATAAATAATATTTTAATCCTTAGTTTATATTTTTAATTTATTTTATTATAATATCCGAATTTTAGATCATTTTATTTTAGTCACTAAATTATTAAATAAAGAAATAACATATTTAATCCCTATAATTTTGATTAATTATGAATTAGATTTTTAATTTTATTTTTACTATAATTTAGTCCGTTATTTTATATGTCTTCATTTATTTTATTGTTTTTAAATATATTGTTTTAATAGTATTTTATTTTTTTTATTTTTTATTATATTATTATTAAATATTTTTATATATTCATAATATATATAATAATAGTAATTTTTAAATATTTATTTTTAATATCGAAGAAAAGGACAGTCTTAATACAACTGGATGTCCTATTCTGATATTTTAAAATTAAAAAGTAAACAATATTATTTAAATTAATATTTATCAATATCAAAGAAAAGAGCTGTCTTAAGGCACCTAGAAGTTCTTTTCTGATATTTTTAAAATATTTTTTTAATTTTGAAATAATAGAATTATAAATTAAATATATTTTTGAATTTTTAAAAAATTTTAATAATAGAGACAATTTATAAATAAAAAAAGTACCAATTTTGGGCGTTGTAGGGGTGCTAATCCTTCCCTAAACGTAACCGACCACGAATCCCTTTTATTATTAAAAAGAACGAATTTTTGGTTAAAACGCAGATCAGTTTATCTTTTAATTGATGTTTTCTTAAAAACTCTTTTAAAAGATATTTTTTTTAGGTATTCGACCTACCTGACCCAAAAGGCCGATGGCGACTCCCAAATTATTTTCAAAACCATTTATTCACATCAATTTCCCCGCCAAAATTAATATTTCGTGCCCGGACGAAAACCGGTTACGACAGAGGGATCATTATATAAGTTAATTAAAAAAATATGGTGAAATTGATTTAAATTACTAGCATAGCTTAATGGATGAGTGCTTTGAAATGCTATGTATTCCACTCAAGAGACCTAAGTTCAATTCATGTTGATAACAAGAATGATTTCTTTTATTTTATCCTCATAGGTTATGATCTTCCACCACGTAATTAACATGTCATGTAACATCCCAAAAACTTAAGAGATAAACACGTGAAAATTGGGGAAATATCTAGAAACATTTCCTCTTGTATTCTTCTTCTTCTCGTGTGCTCTACTTCAAAGGTAAGATTATGAATTTTTGTTGATTTCTTCAACTTTTGGGGTTATGTTAAAGGCTTGGGTGTTATACACGCTTAAGAAAAGCTTGTATAGGATTAATACAACAAGGGGAGAGAATTAAAAAGGAATTTGTAAAAAGGATGTAAAAGTGAATTGTTGATATGATGAAGTTTTAGAGTTTTGTTAATAAATTTGACTTGTCATAAGAAGGAATAAGAATTCTAAAGTATTAGAAATGAGTTTAGAACATGTTGAAAGTTTAGAAAAATTCTTAATTTAAAGAGTTATGATGAAATATTGAAGATGATGATGTATTATAGTGATAAAAGATGGTTTAAGTGAGTATAGTTGAGTTTAATAACATATAAGGAGATCTAAAGTGGAGTTTAGGTGAAGTGTTGGTAATTTTTGGGTTAAAGAAGTAGAATTTGGATTAGTAGTATCAGTATTGGATGAGTAAGTACCGATACTACAAGGCAAGAATATGTGATAATTATGTGTAAGTATCGATATTGCATGAATAATATCGATACCTTAAGGCAAAAGTGGGATAAATCTTCATGGGGTATCGATACTAAAGTGATAGTATCTGTACCATGGGTATCGATACCAATGTAGAAGTATCCGTACCGTTCTTGCAATGAAATTACAGAATCCATAATAGGTGTCGATACCGTGGGATGGTATCGATACTACAAGTATGGAGGTATCGGTACTGCACTTGTAGTACCGATACTACTTAAGTTGGAATTTAGAAATTTGTGTTTTGTTTAGTTTGCATTGGTAAGAATCTTTTCGAGTAATTCGAATCCCGATATTTATTGGATTGTATATTCATGTAGATATCAATCGAAAGCCAAGTCCGGACAAGTCGACAAAGTAAGATTTTTTGAGAGAGATATAAGAGATTGGTATTGACTAGTGAGACCAAGGTGAGTACATGATATTATGTATAAGTTATTTTATGAAATTAAGACTTGCGATGAGTCTAATTCCGATATTAGATTACATGAGTACACAAATACAAGCATGTAGTGATATGACGCTTATGTGTACATGAGTATATGCATATGTCTAGATGTTGAGTGCATCTCTATACGTGATCTATGTGAATGCATGTATGTGTGATAAACTATGTGAACTAATATAATTGAATTATGTAACTAAAGGGAAAAATGAGATAAGCTATGTGACTATGAGCTATGTGATAATAAGTTATATTATTACATGATCATAAGATATAAGACATGTGACAAGAGATATATGATTTCATGAAAGTATGATATAAGCTATCTGAAAGTGATCTATGTAACTATATGTCTATATGAATACAAGAATATGTGATATGATATATATGATAATGAGATATGAGACTCTACGAGAATATTACATGATCTACGTGATAAGAAGCTATGAGATTATATGCATATGTTATATGAATGTGTGATATGTGACAAACATGAATGATAATGCCCATGTTATGTGATATGAGAGCTATGTGTATAGTTGGCATACCAAGAGTCGAGGGTTATACGTGGTCCTTCGGGACATATATGTAATCCTTTGGAACATATATGCGGTACTTCGGTGCACATAGTTGGTCCATTGGAATATATATGTGGTCCTTAAGGATAAATCTATGTGGTCTTTCGGGACATTTCTACGCGATCCTTCGGAACATTTTATATGCCACTCAGTGGAAATTTATACGAGCTGTGGTGACAGCATTTGTGCACAACCTCAATGTACTCACATATCTATAGTTATCAGAAATATACATGGGCTAATAAAGAAATAATAACAAATACACTGTATGTGATTTATATGTTCTGTGATGTGAAATGAATTACCATAATTATGTGATGTTATGTGTATTAATTGGTTGAATGAGTCATATGATAGTTAAGAATGTTAGGTATAAGAGTATATGGTTATATGAATTAATGAATAGATATGTTAATAATGATAATGATGGTATGTGTGCATATAAGCCTTGTGTTGTATGAAATGTACATGCATGGTTAAGTAGTTACAGTTTCTATTATTCGTTTTCATGTCTCACTAAGTCTATGACTTAGTGTGTGAGTGTTTCACATGTACGATCCGAGAAGTTTGAAAGATAGATAGACAGCGGAGATAACATAACGTCATCGGAGATCAGATCAGAAGAAGTTTAACAGTGGGTTTCTTTGTTGTATTAAATAATGTTGTCATGTATCTAAAGGATTAAATTGTATAAGCTCTAATCAATTTTTGTAAACTTTTTGATTTAATGTATGTAAATTATTCAGTATGTTTAAATTAAGTCTGAAATTCTTCTCTATTTTATATAAGTGATTTGAAAGGTCAATGTGATACCTCAGACTCGTATTCGGGTTGGGGGTGTTACATGTCATGCCACACCAACATTGTTAAAATTACAATTAAAATTATATTCTTAAAATGGGTTAATCATAGAATGATCCTTGAATTTTTTAATATTTACTTAATAAAAACAATTTAACTTGTGGTGTATTTTGGTATATCATATTAATAATGCATTTCGGTGTGCGACATTTATTATAGACTCGTCCTCATTCTTAATTTTTTTTTCTTTCAACAAAGACTGCTCTCTAAAACACTCTCCCTTCCAACTATCATAAAGAAATAGATTATTCCTTCTATAAAATAAATTCCAACATATAATAGGAAAAACATTAAAACTCAAACATCTTCATTTATCGTAAAAAAATTAGTTTATTCCATTTTTTATTACAATTTCTTCATTATTTTCTCATGAATTTTTATTTTTTTAATTATAAATTATTTTAGTAATTGTCTTAAATATTATGAATTTTATAAAAATTATTTGATCATAGTTAGAGATTAGGATAAAATTAATTTAAAATAATAAAATATTATATATTTTAAAATGATTTCAATGGATTCGTTCCACTATTTAACAAATAATAAATTATTATATATATTTATAATTAAATTTTAAATAAAAGAATATTTTTTAATCTAAGCCAACTAAAATTAGGAAAAAATTAAAATATATATATATAAATTTTAAAAAACAATTACGTAAAGCCTATTCTTTAGATAAATCTATTCTTTAATATTATTCGTTTTAGTTTTCAATTAAAAAACAAAAACCTTTTTACTCGGTCACCTTTATTTTAAAACTAGGGTAAATTACAAATATCATCACTTGACTTTACTCTCTCTCCTATTTCGCTCACTAAACTTTAAAACTTTCAATTTCCTCATTTAACGTAATACATTGGATTTTTTTTGTCAATAAACTTTTCTCTACTTCCTATTTTGGTCACTCAGTTAACGACGTTAAAAACAATTCCGTTTAAAAAAAATAATTTTTTAACCAAAATAACGTCGTTTTGCATATATAAAACAACATATTTTAACGCCGTTAATCATTTAACTACCGAGTGACCAAAAAACTCAATGTATTAAGTTCAGTGGGGAAATTAAAAAGATTTAAAGTGTAGTGAGAGAAAAAGGAGAGAGAATAAAGTTCATTTACCAAATTGGTTATTTACCCCAAAAACTAAAAAGCATATGATAGGTCAAGGTTTTTTTCTTCTTTACTTTTTTATAATAATACTAGTCGCGTCAGTAACTGTAAAACCGAGTTAAGCAGTTAACCTCTGGTTTTATAGCCATTTTCTAATGAAATACTAATGCTTATTCATATGATAAAAAATGAAACTTAACGTAAACGGGAAAAAAACTATAAATGTATAAATACTGTTGCTAGGGCGTAAGGAAGAGTCTTATAAATATATTTCTTTTCTCATCGTTGGGCAGAATACTACAACATGAAGGAAGGTTACGTTCCTTTGATTTCCAAGTCCGCAGAAGAAGACGAAGCATACTTGAAGAGTTTGCCACCAGGTTTTCGTTTCAGTCCAGATGACGTTGTGCTCGTTGATTATTATCTGAGGAGAAAAGTTTATAATCAACCACTGGCACCCCATAGAATTAAAGATGTTCAACTTTACGCCTACGATCCGGATACTTTAACAGGTGCTTATTTTTTAAACCCTAGTGTTGATGATGATTATATTTTCGTAAAAATATATTCGCATATGTTCCTAATGATTATATTTTCTTGATTTGATATGTAACAGCGATCAGTGATAACGAATCGTTTAATGGGAAGGTATCCGAATGGTATTTTTTCACATCACGCGATCGGAGGCATCCGAATGGCGCAAGACCTCAACGAGTAGCCGGCAATGGATTTTGGAAGGCAACTATAGCCGATAAAGAGATTAGGGTTGGAAAGAATGTCGTTGGATTGAAGAAGACGTTGGTCTATTATTATAAAAGAAAATCAAGTCCTGATCAGAAGACCAATTGGATCATGCACGAGTATGTATTGAAGAATCCTCCTACAAGAACAAGAAACGGTGCCGATGACAAGCGGGTAATTATTAATATTTATCTTTTTTTTATTTCTTTCCGATTTTTTGTTTAAAAAAAATTTATGAATCAGCCACTTACTCTTTGAGTCTTATTAACTTGATTTGCTTTGTTTGTTTTCAGCTGGATGATTGGGTACTCTGTAGAGTGTACAAGAGGGAGAAGGGTGGAAGTTCAAATCCCAAAACTCCGGTGGTGGTTAGTGATGAAAACCAGCAAATTGTAGCAGATGATGGGAATGTGGTAACAACAACAACCCCAGTTGTTGATGACCTCCAATGGGTAAATCAGCAGCAATTTAATTGTGGTAGCGTTGGATCAACAGCAATGCCACCAATGTTAGAGATACCACCTGCAGCTCAGTTTGGATGGGGAAATCCTCAAGATTCATATACACATCAACAGCAGCAGTTTAATTGTGGTAACGTTGGATCAACAGCAGTGCCACCAATGTTAGAGATACCACCTGCAGCTCAGTTTGGATGGGGAAATCTTCAAGATTCATATACAAATCAGCAGCAGCAGTTTCAATTGGAAAATCCTCAAGATTTATATGCAGATCAGCAGCAGCAGTTTCAATGGGACAATCCGGGAGATTTATATAGAGATCAGCATCAGTTCCGGTCTCTTCACTTTGAGCCGCAAGTGTTACCCCCGAAGCAGCAGCAGCAGCTTTCCTATGCCTATCCAAGTAGCTTTGATTTCACAGCAGCAGCAGTCGTAGCTAAGAGTGGAGCTGAAGTGGTGGAAAATGGGATTCCATCTCCTGCTCCATGTCAAGAATTTGATGTTTCTGCCTTCAACATGGTGGGCCATAGAAAACAGGTTTAAACAAGTGATGAGCAAGTTCATCTACGTCCTTGGAGGTGGTGGTGTCTCTTTGATGAAATTGACCGATTGGTGAACAAGATCATGAGAGTGCAGTTCGTTCATGTACCAAGGGAAATCCATGTACTTAGTTATTTCGATTGTGTGTACTCTTTTCCTCTATTTAGGTTTAGGGAGGTTTTTAACGAGGCACACGATTCGAATTTAGGATATGATTACTCAATATGATCATATTTGCCAAAAACAAAAAGCTGTAGTTCCAATGGGAGAAACATGTTTGAATATAAATAAATTATTGCTAACCTAAAATATATTGTGCATATATATAGATCAACAAACTGGTTATAGTAATTTTGTATCAACAATGCCACCAAACTCATGGACTTCGGCGGATGATCAAAGGATATTATTTTAGTTGTTTGAATACAGGTTTCTTGCACTTTCATATTACCTTTCTGCACAATTATTCTCGTAAAATCCAACCTCCAAGCATGCAGCAAAAAGTTATGAATAGCCATAACTCGACCACCAGTATCAGGTAGTCATGCTTCTTTAAAAACCATGCACATGAAGAGCTATATGTGCCTCGTTAAAAATCTCTCTAACTTAATTGGAGGGAAAAAGTATGCATACAACTTTTTATATATATAAAAAAAAACCTTATACATCCAGGCTCACAGCCCCACCCAGAGTTCCTAAATCGGAACCAGACATGTCATAATGAAGCAAAACATCAACGCCATTCGAGGGATTTTTAACATAATGGACTCCGAAATACCCTCCAACATCTATCTTATTAGTCACAAAATTCGCAACTCAATTTCCGGATAGAGGAATATGTACAAAAAGGACCACCCACTCTTTCTGCGCAAAGACACGAATACGAACAAAATCGAAGACAATTATACTCAAATTTACTATAACCCGTAATATCTAAGACATGTCGAATGAACTAAGATTCAATGGGATAAAAGAATATTATCTGGTCTATTTTAACGGATTTAAACTCGAAATCTATTAATTCAAATTCAAACTAGTTTAACAAAAAACTAAGATTTGACTCACTTGATGCATATTTAAACTAAGGGTAAACTACACTTTAGTACCTAAATTATTAGTTTTAGTCCGTCTTAATTTTTTTTCTCGACAAAGAGTATTTTATTGATAAACTTTGATTTCTCTATGAACACCCACACACTTCGAGCCAACCAGCTAGTCACCTTGAGGTGACGAGTTTCTTCAAATTCAAAAAAACTAATTGTTTTCTAGCCGTTGGTCAACGAGCAGATGCAACGGTCACTTGGAACTCGTCACCTCGAGGTGACGAGTTCAACCGAAATTTTGAAACTAGTCGTTTATAGCCATTGAGGCTAAGGCTATAAATAGAGGTTTTGCGTTTTGGTTTTTCACCAAACCCTAAATTTGAACAAAATTACAAAAATAATCATATGTTCTGTGACAATCCCGAAAATTGGCTACCCAAGAAGAAATGTTGCGCCTGAATAACATCCATATTTCATCGATCCAACTCCAGCCGGAAGAAGAATGGATTATTCGTAAGCGCGGGATGACATACGGAGAGTCGCATCAGCAGATGCTGATATATCTGCAGCAATCCGGTCTATTTCCAACCATATTTGTACATGGCGTCAAGCTGTACCCAATGTTGATTGAGATTCTGATCGAACATTGACAACCCAAGAAGAACACGTTCCATTTCCCAAGTGGTGAAGCAATGATTACTTTAGAAGACGTCGCTTACCAACTCGGTGTTCCTGTGAATGGAGCCTCCGTGGTGAGGCAAAATGGTTACGACCCCGTAATGTTGGTCTACCAAGTTTTGGGAAAGATTTCACCATCCAACATCATCGATGACTATTGGTACGAATTACGTGGTTAGTGTCTGAATTCCAAGTGGCGGGCTAATCTATCGAGGACGAGGTTATTTTTGCGTCCCGAGCATATCTTCTCCAATTAATTGAAGGGGTATTATTACCGAATAAATCTAATAATTTAGCGCTCACTCAATATCTGCAATTTTTTGGAAGACTTTACTGTGAGTCGTAATACCAATTGGGACTCAGCGATTTTAGTCTTTCTGTACCAGGAGCATTGCAAGGCTGTAATTGTCCAGCCAAATCGAAAAGTCGATGTAGCAGGTTATGTAATACTGCTACAGTCCTGGGCTTAATACCGATTCTCCTTTTTTATCCAATTACACCAACCCCAGTTGAGTTTCCTCTGGCTGCAAGATAATTTTTAACTTCATTTATTTAACCCTTTTTTAATTTGATTAATTTAACTATTTTTTGTTAATAATATCTTTTTATTTTTAAATATTTTAGATGGTGTCATAAAATAGCCGAGACAAAGTTGGCAGGTGCCACTACACGAGATATACGGATGAGGGTCGATATTTTCGGTCGATATGCGGTATACATTTGTTCTTTTATTATTTTTTGGAATTTTTTAACTTTATATATACTAACTTTGATATTTAATATTTATAGTTTTCTTGGCTTTCGTATGTTGATGACGAGATCAACCAGTTATTGCCACCGTGATTTTTTGAGGGGTCTCAGTTATGGTGTGTCGTGACGCCGCTATTACATTTTGCAATTGTTGAGTGGCACGTTGTTGATAGAGTAATGCGACAGTTGTGCTAAGTTCATCACCATATTTTGAATGTGGATCTCAGAGTATGCTAAGTACACCTCCTCGGCAAGATGAAGAAGACGAAGACGACGATCAAAGCCTACGACCCCGGCGTACTCAACGAGTCCTGCACCATTATCATTCGATAACACCTCGGCGTCATCAAAAACTTAGAAAATATAGATAAATTTTCTTTGTAATTTCTTGTAACACTTTTTTGCAATTATTTATTTACTTTTTATGTTTTAAAATATAAATAAATTTATTTTTTTTAATTTTATTTTTTAAAATTTTATCCGGTCGAACCCGCGATGTGACGTGTTCCAAAGCGACCATTGCCCATATGCCCGTTGACCAATGGCTAGAAGAGATGACGAGTTCCTCTATTTTTTTTAATTTAAAAATTATAATCTTATTTTGGAATTTAAAAAAATAATTTTTTAAGATACTCATCACCTCGAGATGATGAATCATATTAATAACAATAAAATAATAACTCACGTAGGGCTTACTACTTGAGGACTATTTAAAAATAATATTAGAGGGAACTCGTCATCTATACACTGTAACATTTGGTGTATTTCTCAAAATAAAAAATTAAGCCGCCCTAATACCCTATTAATTAATCTGTTTGGGGTATTGGGCTAAAAAACCCTCCTATGGATTCCATATTAACAGAAAGCCTATATTCGGCTCTTTTGACCCCTTATGGTCCACCAGCTCGATTGAGGCCCAACATTGGACTTCACCCTGATCTAATCTTTTCTGCAGTTGAAACCGAGACTCTCCGCCCTTCCTTCTTCGGGACTGCAACCCTCAACAGACAATTCATAACATCATCATTACATTGCATGCGTAATTCCTTTTCAGACGATATTCCTATACCACCGTCAACGTCCGACGAGGAAGCCTGGAGGTTAACTTAACACTGCAGATTTTATCCGAAGAAGTATATATATATATATATATAAAGTATATAAGTTGTCCTCTGGTTATAAAATATTATTTTGTTAAGTATTTTAATTATTAAAAATTATAGAATAGTTATTTGATTATAAAGTGTTAATTTGTGGAGTCTAATGACTATTAAAATTACAAAACGATCACATGACTATTCATTATGTTCCAAACTCATCATTTTTCGTTAAAAAATTCATGATATTATGAGTTGAATGTTAACTTGTTGATTGTGATAAAATAAAATTTCATGTCAAAATTTTAAACGACTATCATATCCTAGTCATTATATTAACGTCCATCTCAGATAACCGTCAATTTTTTAACAAAAAAAAATGAATTTAAAACTTAATAAATAATAAAGTGATCATTTTATAATTATTAATAGTCAAAAAACTTAATAAAATAATATTCTACGGTCAAAGAACTATTTTATAATTTTTAATAATTAAAAAATTTAATAAAATAATATTTTATAATCAGGTATTAATTATGTACTTTATGCATATATATATATATATATATATATATTTCAAAAAGAAAGGAAGATTACGTGAAAGAAAGAAAAGGATATAATGGTTTTGACAGGATTGAACTTGTAATGAACAGGGGAAGCAGGGCAAGCCAAGTGATCGTTATGCTCTTTTAAATGTATATGTGATGATTATGTTTTTAATAATATTTATTTATAACTCGGTGATCTTTAGTATTTATTGTTGTAATTGTAACACCTAACTCGTATCCGACTCGAATACAAGTCTGAGATGTCACATTGACTTTTTAAAACGATATTCTTATAAAATATCAAAACATTTGAACTCATTTTAAGAAAATACAATAATATTCTATTAAATTATACTTCATTATAAAAAATTGAAAAAAAATATTAATTTGTGAACAGTATTATTCGGCATGGACAGTACCGTGAACAGTGAAAATTTTCGAATATAAAGTGTGTATCGCTGCACTGCTACAGTAACTTTCGGCAAAATACTTATAAATTCATAAAAATCTAAGTTTTCATCTGTGTAAAATTACCATTTACATATACACATTTAAAACATTACAAAACTCATTCATATTCTTTTACAAACTAATTAGGGTATATCGTATTCAAATCTTTATTACATGCCAACCACTATCATTATTATAAAATACATACTATTTAATTCTTTTCTGATATGATCTTTGGAAATGAGAACTGATCTGTCTTGTTTAGCTTTTATCATTCTTCCTCTTCTCGGAACCTACGTGTGAAACAATCACACGCTAAGTCTATGACTTAGTGAGACATATAAACATATAATAAAAACCATAAAATATTTCATATATCAAAATACATACATGCACATATACCATCATTATCGAAGTCTATATTTATCATATGATCT